AAGAGACCATGCTTTATTTTTGCCATTTATCACTTTCATTCTTTTTCTCTCTCCAATTTTTGTAACATTACTGTCTGTCCTTTATATTTTTTCCAAAGGGGTTTCATTGTGATACTTCCATACATGCAAATAGTCTACTTTGATCATATTCACCCCTCTATTACTCTTATCTCCCTTTTCCTACTTTTTTCAATAATTTTTATGGGTCTCACTTTCTATTTGCTTACATTTATAAATACTCTTCAATCACATTCATCCCATATTATACTTCCTTTTTGCTTTCCCTCTTCCTGCTGGGTGATAGCTCTTAAATCAGTCCATGGTATTCCCATCATAGAAAAAAGTAGAAATAGGGGCTGGGAAGGTGGCTCAGTGGTAGAGCGCTTGCCTTGCATGCCTGAGGCCCTGAGTTCGATTCCTCAGCACCACATAAGCAAAAAGAAAAAAGCCGGAAGTGGTGCTGTGGCTCAAGTGGTAGAGCACTAGCCTTGAGCTGAAGAGCCGAGGGACAGCACCCAGACCCAGAGTTCAGGCCCCACGACTGGACCCCCAAAAAAAAAGAAAAGAAAAAAGTAGAAATAGTATACATTGTTACCACTCATCTCCAAAGCCTACTGAAATCTTATAATAGCCATACCATGATGCTTGAGCTTCTCCAAAACCATCTGGTTTTATTCCCTAGGTGATGGGCGTTACTCTCTTTTGGGCCAGCCATTACAGTACAATCTCTCCATTTGCCCTCCCTTGCTCCACAGCCAGTCAACTTACACGGTGCATCAGGTAAGAATGTCCACCATCAGCCTTAGAGCCATTAGGCCCTCTTCTCACCTGGAACCCTATGCTTGAGCCACCTGCTTCTACTAGCTGGGTACACATGGGAGACAAAACAAGAACAGCCTTGCCCCAATTCTGTGCTCATGCTCTGACCCAACCCCACTGTCAAGAGGAAGGGACTCTTTGTATCTCATTGGTCACTATCTGTCTGCTTGGGTGGAGACCTTAGGGTTGGCTGTCACTCCCCAATCTCTGACAGACATTGGGACACAGGCAGTCAATGTTGTTTTCTTGAGGTGAAAGTTACCTTTCAAATATTGAAGGGACAGAGTGGATTGAAGCATGGAAACCGGGGCAAGAGACAAGCACTCAAATCAGCCTCCACTGACTTAGGGACAGCAGATGTTGGTAAGTGACAGGATGCCAAATCCCTAAGAGAAGGTACCATACTCTCCAACCCTTCATTAACAACCCCAGATGGATTAGAAAACTAGCTTAGAGTGGGGGAAGTGGGGCCCTTTAGGTGTGCTCAAAAGCAAGCAGAAGGTAAAGTATCTCAGATTCCCCAGCTAAGCCGCACCAGGTAAAATTGGGAATAGCACTGTAATGGATGTTGCTGGGCCTCTTACTAAACAATCTTCTAGGAGCAGTCCTGACCCTAATCTAGGACATCTCTCTATTTAAGAGGAGATTGGTAGAGAATGTAGCCTTTATGCTAGGCAAGCAAGTTTTCTTTGGAGTCATTTGTGGCAGTTGACTAAACAAGAAAATAAGGGAAAGGGACTTTCCTGGCTGATAAGAAGGAACAGTCCATTTGGGCCAGCCTCTGAGTGGGAAGGAAGACTGTCAGTAAAAGCAACATTTCCTTCATAGCAGTGACTATGAAATAAATGAGGTGTAGGTCCTCAGCTCATAAACCTAGTTCCTTCTTGCCTGTATCTCTTGCTAGAAGAGAAGGGTTCATTTTTACCTTCTGCTTGTCCTGATTAGAGTCTAGATAGTAGGAAATTACAGTGACTTGAAGAGGGGAGGAAGGGTCTAAGTGGGAAGGTTGGGGCTTTTGAGGACATTGTATATACTTAGCCAGCCAAATTCACTGTCAGTCCTTTGTTCAGTCCTTCTTTCCCTACCTCTCACAACAATGTGTTCTTTCTTCCCCTCCAGTCCTGGGGCGGGTGCTGGAGGTGACAGATCTCCCTGAGGGTATCACTCGTACTGAGGCGGACAAACTCTTCACTCAGCTTGCCATGTCTGGCGCCAAGATCCAGTGGCTCAAGGACGCTCAGGGGCTGCCTGGTGGAGGTGGGGGGGATAATGGTGGGACTGCTGAAAACGGCCGCCACTCTGACCTCGCTGCCTTGTACACCATCGTGGCTGTGTTTCCCAGCCCCCTGGCTGCCCAGAATGCCTCCCTTCGCCTCAACAACTCTGTGAGTCGCTTCAAACTACGAGTGGCCAAAAAGAACTATGACCTGAGGATCCTGGAGCGAGCCAGCTCCCAATAAGTGGAGGAGGGAAAGGGACTTACATAGTAGGGGACAGGGCAAGGTGGAGGGGGCCAAGGCTAGATTTACGTAGCCAGAGGCAAGAAGTAAGGAGACAGACGCCAGACTAGAGCCTAAGATGTTAGGAATGAAGCAAGAAACAGACTCACACAGGCACTGGACTCCAACCGACTTCCTACCATGGCACCCCCTCTTTTTCCCTGGTTGCCCCTCCCCCATTTCCCTCTCCTTCCCATTCTCTTCTATCATTTTTTATATCTTCCACCCTGAAATTCGTTTCTTTCAAATTTTTGGCCAGGTAGAGTTGGGGAGGGTCTCATACTCCTCCTCACCTATTTCCTCACCATCCCAAGCTCCTGTTTCCTTTTTTGGTCTTTACGAATATATTTATATGGACAGAATTAAGAAAAACAAAATTGATTTCCCCATTCTCTCACTTCCCCCATCTTATCTCCCCAAACCCCACAGAGTTAAAACTTGGAACCACCCCACCCCACCCCACCCCCAGAACACTTGTATATTGTTTGTTTGAGGTTTGTGCCGCAGTAACAGACACAGTATTTAATTGCACATACAGATGTTTGCTGGGTATATTCACTGTAAATTTTATTTAATCTGGTTTTTTGTTTGTTTGGGGGGTTACTTGTGGGGGGAGGTTGAATTTGTTTTTAAATATAAAAACTTGTCACTGGACATGGGTCACTGTTTCTCTATTGCCGCCTGGACATGGATGGGGGCTTGGGGTTCTGTGTAGGTTCAGCCACACAGCTGTTAAAGGGGTTTGTCATGTGTTGGGATGGCTTTCCCCAGCATGTACACATATATCTTACATTGCTCCTTTTATCTCATTCTCTTCCTTCATCCAGTTCTAATAGATGGCTGGGTCTCTGTGGGACTGTTATGAACAGCAGTTCATCAACTCTGGACCTCTGTGTCCATACCAAAGGCTTCTTTATTAATTCTCATATTCATTTAGGATGCTTAAGCTGAGCCTGGGAGGAATGACTGAAGTCCAGAACTGGACTGAAATGCTGTTCTTCTAATCTGAAAACCTTTCAGGGATGGATAATGCCTAAAGCCACATGATTAGGTTGCACTTGGCACAAACAGTTGTGTTTCTTACAATAAAAACTATACCAAGCCTAGGCACTAGTGGCTGACACCTGTAATCCTAGCTATTTAGGAGGCTGAGATCTGATCTGAGGATTGTACAAAGTCATCCTGGGCAAGAAAGTCTAAGACTTATTTCCAATTAACCAGCAAAAAGCTAGAAATGGAACTGTGGCTTAAGTGGTAGAACTCTAGCTTTGAGCAAAAAAGCACTGAGACGGTGCCCAGGCCCTAAGTTCAAAACACCAGAACCAGCACAAAAAAAGGAGCTATACCAAGCTGGACACCAGTGGGTAGTGGTCCATATCTATAATCCTAGTTACTGAGGAGGCTGAGATTTGAGAATCTAGATTCAAAGCCAGCCTATGCAGACAAATGTAAGAGACTCTTATTATCGATTAACCAGTAAAAAGCTGGAGCTGTAGGGGTAGCTTAAATGATGTAGCACCAGCCATGAGCAAAAAAAGCTGAGCAGGAGCTCAAGATCCTGAGTTTAAGCCCTAGTACCCAAGGGGAAGGGAGGGGAGAAGCTACACCAACTAAATTTACAATGCCAAGATGCTGTATTACCCAGGCATGTTAAGCAGCCCTGTCCAGGGCAGCTAAAGAAAACAAGAGCAGAAATCACCCTACCTACAAGATAGAACTTGTCTTCTCAAGGCCTCCCCTATTCTCTCCAGCCTGTCAGGACAGGAGTATTATTAAGCCTGTAGCCTCAGACCCATTATGCACCCATTAAAAAGAGAATAATAGATGGAAATAACATCTGATATGCTAGCATTGTCCTAGAAATCTCTTGGGCCTGGATAACTATGACTCTAGCCACATCCCCATAAGAGCTTATCTGACCTAGCTTCTAATGTAGTCCTTTTTTTCCCAAATACATGGGATATTTTACATGGTACATTGTTTTCCTCCAGGATCTTGGTCGTGTCACAGCCCAAAGAGTAGAGGAAGCTATATCCCTGTAAAATAAGAATGCCAGCCAACCCTTGGCTTCTCAGTTCCTATATTGTGGCATTCATGGTAGGTGGAGGAATCTTGGAGTGAAGATGATTTAGGAATAAGGATAAACTACCTTACCTTCAAGGATTAGCAGTTCTTATGGGGAAAGAGACATTATTTACAGATGATAAAAACTTGCTATAGAAGACAGCTATAACCTTCTGTCTGGTTAACTAACCCCCTAAGATTATTAGACCTTAGTTTCCCAGAATCCCTTAATAGGAGTTACAGCGCGCGCGCGCGCGCGCGCGCGTGTGTGTGTGTGTGTGTGTGTGTGTGTGTGTGTGTGTGTGTGTGTGTGTCATGGGGCTTTAACTCTGGGCAGTTTTCTAGTGGTTAATTGGAGGTAAGAGTCGCATAGGCTTTCTTGCCTGGGCTGGCTTTGAACAACAGTCTTCAGATCTCAGCCTCCTGAGAAGCCAGGATTGTAGGTGTGAGCCAGCAATGCCTGGGTGCAGCCTAACTTGTTGAAGCTATTACAGTTCCCTTTACCCTGAGGACAAGATTTCAAGGAGAAAAGATTCCTCTGAGGGCTGAGCAGCGCTACCTATGTATTCTTTACTCTTACAGGATAGCACTTAACTACAGATGACGTAGCTATATGGCTGGCTGACATGGGATCTCTGAGAATAAAAATCCTATCCTCATCAGTTCCTAGCCCAAAGTCAGGAAGAGATCAATGCTTGAAGGCATGCAAACACTGGACCACTCAAAGACTGACTGAGAAGATAAGTCCTTTCTAAAATAGGCTTGGAGAGATTTAGGGAGGTGCTTGGACCTTAGGGGAAAAGGGAGAGAAAATCACTTTAGAATTCTTCCTTCATGTTCAGACATTTAAGGTCCCTTTAAATGAGTATTATAAGGACAGCCCTGCTAGGTTAGAGCTCAGTAGAGCACTTACATAGCATGTGTATAGCCCTAGTTTTATCCTCAATTTTGCAAAGAACAGAGAAAGAAAAGAATACTATTCTTGACTTTAGCCAGAAAAGATGTGTTCACCATAGATGAAGAATCAAGGAAGAACAGCCCTGGGGGGATGGGAGGATGTAGGGTCCAGCCCTGCCCCAGACTCCCCGTGTCCAATTTCTCCATGTCAGCTGTGCTGCTCAGCTGTCCACTTTCCTCCAGCCCTGTCATTTCAGCTCTGCCACCAAGGTGAGAGGCTAGAAGGCCTACAAATACCATCTGATTAGTTGGTGTGCGTACGAAAGGTACTGGGGGGCTTAGCCCCCAAGGAAGAGGACTGCCCATCCCCTGCACGACCATCAAGGCCCTAGGGGATCCCTTTTCCCCCACAGACTGAGGACTGACTTAGGGAATCCCAAACGTAAGTTGCCTTTTCATCCTCTTTGTAGTATTGCTCCCCCAACTCCCCCAATCTCTAGTCTGTTCAACTTCTTCATTTCATTCTCTGTGAGTAGTTTGGGTTTTAGAAGTGAAATTGTTATTCTACTCCTGAAAAAGCTAGAATTGAAGGGGGGTGGGGTCTAGGGAATGGAGTAGTAAAAGAAGGAAAGGCTCATGTTACTCTGAAAACTTAAAATAGCTGAGGCCTGAGGCAGGCTGGGACAGAACTAGGCACAAGGCCCTAAAGTTCAGAGGAGAACAAATGTCTCAATCCATTCCTCCATGCATGCATGTGAGGAGGGGATGTGGGAAGGTGTGTGTGTGATCCTGCCTATTGGCCATAAGTACCTATAGGAAAATCCTGGTCAGGTAGTCTTGAGCACTGTGTTAGAACTGTAAACTGTAAACTCTGGGGCTTCCCCTCAGGGTAAAAGGATGGGTTATCTGTCTGAGAAACTTGGAAGTCCAGACTTTTGGCCTTTTCTCTGGATCTTTCTGTTCATAAGCCTGACCCAAAGGCTTTCTGTTTAACCAAATTCCTCCTGATGTTTCCCCTCCAACGACCACCCTACTTCAAGGAAGGGACAGGAATAAAAGCGGGCAGTCAGGGATTAGATTTCATAGTGGGGTTCAACCTTTTGCAGGATGACAGAAAAAGAGGTGCTAGAGTCCCCTAAGCCCTCCTTCCCAGCAGAGGCACCGCAAAGTGGGGTGAGTCTGAGTCTCTTACCACTGTGTTGGGGGGCTGGGAAGCTATCTGTCTGAAGAAAACTGCTTGAACTGATCCCATTTGTCTGTGACTCTTGTCAGTAGGCTAGTCAGCACCCACAGCCCCAATCCTCTAATCTCCGGGCACATTGCTTGCCTCACATTAAAAAAGTAGGTTGACAGTCATTTTAACATTGGGTTTCCTCCACTCCTTCCTTCCCTCAGCTACAGCGGCTGAAGCAGTTATTCAGGAAGGGGTCTCCAGAGCCAAAGGAGATGGAGCTTCCCCCAGAGCCGCAGGCCAATGGGGAGGCAGTGGGAGCCGGGGGTGGGCCAATCTACTACATCTATGAGGAAGAGGAGGAAGAAGAAGAAGAGGAGGAGCCACCCCCAGAACCTCCTAAGCTTGTCAATGACAAGCCCCATAAATTCAAAGATCACTTCTTCAAGAAACCAAAGTTCTGTGATGTCTGTGCCCGGATGATTGTGCGTGAGTTATGAAGGGGAGTGAAGAGTCTGAGGTTGAAGGTAGGGGTTGGGGGAGAGGATTTAGGAGAGAATTGTTTGTAATAGACAGACTGTGGCAAGATTCAGCTTATAAAAATACTAGAGGTCGAGAGGGTAAGGTCCTAGAAGAGGGAAGTTCAGGGCTATAGTAGGTACAGTGGTGCAAAGGGAAGAAAGAACTTGGAACTTACCCAAATGTTCTCCTCCTCCAAGTCAATAACAAATTTGGGCTCCGTTGTAAGAACTGCAAAACCAACATACATGAACATTGCCAGTCCTACGTGGAGATGCAAAGATGCTTTGGCAAAATCGTGAGTATGCTTTGTAGAACAAGAAAATGGAAGGGAAGACAGACACAAGTTGCCAGCTACCCTTTGCTAATCCCTCAAGAAATCCCATACAATTTCCCTGCTTCTTCTCCCCTCAGCCCATCTTATTCTACAAAAGGACAAGCACTCACGGGGGAAGTAGGGTTCTAGGCCCCATCTTGCTATTTCTAATGTTCACTCCCTTCATCCCATCCTACAGCCACCTGGTTTCCGAAGGGCCTATAGCTCCCCACTCTACAGCAATCAGCAGTATGCTTGTAAGTGCTCTACATATGACCTAAGGGAATGGGCAGGCCTCCAAGATGAATCCTTCCCACCTCTAGCTTTGGAAGCCAAATTCTGAAACATAAACGTTCTATTACCCATATTTTTCCAATTAAAGCCTAATATTTTTAAGTGATTTGATGCAGCCAATAGTCCCCTGATTTAGAGCTGAAGAAGATAAGATTTAGCTAGAATTACATACATACATCTAGCTTGTGATAGAGCCAAGATTGAAACCTTAATCTACTAGCCTCCAAATATGTGTTCTTCACATACAAAACCATTTCTAAGTAAGAAATTATTTAGAATCATGCCAGACTCAGGACTAGACCAAGCTACAACTTCCTAATTTGGCAATTCTTAAAAGTACTCATTTAGCAGGACACTGATGGCTCACCCCTATAATCTTAGCTACTCAAGAGCCTGAGATCTGAGCATCACGGTTCAAAGCCAGCCTGGGCAGGGAAGTCTGTAAGACTTATCTCCAGTTAACCACCAGAAAACCAGAAGTGGAGCTGTGGCTCGAAGTAGTAGAACACTAGCCTTGAGCAAAATTACTCAGGAACTGTACCCAGGTCCTGAGCTCAAGCCTCATGACCAGAAAGGAGTAAAAATTGACAAATTTCTCAGTGTTTATTTGAAGGACAGACAGAACACTTGAGGCACCTAAGTGAAAAAACATACTGGTGCTCCCCACCCCCCAACATGCATGTGCCACTTGGCAAAACAAAAGCAGTTAAAACACCATTCTCTTTGAGAATAAGGATTCCAAACCAGTCCCAACTCCCAAGAAACTTACACCATACACTACTCTGCTTGGAAGGAGTTCTGAGAAGTATTTTTCTCCATCAGATCACATTTCCAGTAATGTTTTTTAGAGTCCTTTATAGATTGCTGACCTAGATATTACCCAGCTGATCCTTAATTCTCCTCCTACCTCTACCTCTACCACACACATATATACATACAATTCCCATGGGTAGTTTCTGAGTTCCACCTCTTCCTTATTTTGGGGGGGGGGGGTCTCTCCTCCAAGCCTTTCTCTGACTCTCCAATAATGCTTTTTTCTCCTCCCATTCCACTAGCCTCCACCAATCGCAATGACCCTGTGTTTGAAACCCTGCGCACCGGGGTGATCATGGCAAACAAGGAAAGGAAGAAGGGACAGGCAGATAAGAAAAATGTGAGCACCGTATATCCCCATGGATTACCCCTCCCACCCCAGAAACTCATGGGGCAAGCCCCTCTCTTAGGTATAGAAGTTATGAATACTCCAATGGCATATAACCTAAAAAATACACCCTCACATGCAACTTTTGAATGTGTTTTGGACCAGCCTCAGGTTAAGAACCCATGCCATAGTGCTAGGAAGTTTAGTGGTAGAGTGCTTGCCTAAATGCACAGATCCTGGGTTTGATCCCCAGCACCAAAAAAACCCAAAAACCATAAAGTACATTTTTTTCAACTCCCTTCTGAATGTGTCAGCTTAAATGCCACCGAAAGGTAGACCCCAGGCATTTGGCATTGCTGGATGGCAGAGACAAGAATAATGCTTTTGGATTTAGGGGACAGAATATAGCATGACATTCCAAGTAATCAATTCTGGAACCATGCAAAGGTCCATGAAGATCATGGTCTGACTCATTCATCTTACAGATAGTGAAATGGAGAAACAAAGCTACCTGACAAAGACAACCTCATCTCCTTTTATAATAAAATTGCTAGGTTGATAATGCCACAGATGGTGAACTGAACACCATCTTTCTAGACAACCAGGATATATTATCAATGATGATTGTGACTAGATGGATTCCTAAAGTTGACTGAATTTCGTATGCAAAGAGTCTTGGTCCAACTAAAAGGAGGTGCCTTCTAACATGAATGGGCCCATGCTCCTAAACCTCTTTCCTCACGGATACAAATAGTTTGTGAGAAAGCTAGGAAGGAAAACTTATACATTGAATGATATATTTAAAAGTGACCCACACCAGGCACTGATGGCTCATGCCTGTTATCCTAGCTATTCAGGGGCCTGCAATCTGGGGATCATGGTTTAAGGCCAGCCTAGGTAGACAAATCTAAGAGACTTCTCTCCACTTAACAAGCAAAAATGTCTGAATGGCTCAAGTAGTAGAGTGAAGCCTTGAGTAAAAAAGCTAAGCAAGAGCATGAGACCCTGAGTGCAAGCCCACAAGTTCAAGTACCATAAAATATATAAATAAATAAGCATTAAGTAAATAAGCTTACAGCCCAGAAGGAAGAACCAAAGCTAATAATTTGATAAGGTGGTTTTGTTTTGAGACAGCGTTTTACCATGTAACCAATCTTGCCTCACCTCCTGAGTGCTGGGATTATAGGCATGTGCCACTATGGCCAGTTTTAATAATTTGAAATTTCATACAGAAACATTTACTTATCTCTTCTTGGATCAAAACAAAATCAACTGCCTAGACTGAAAGATCTGACCTCAAAGAAGTTAATATGGAAGGCTGGCACAGAGACGCGATTCTTTGGAGTGAACTTACAAGACACTAGCAGTGTAATTTGGCCATTTCTGAAAAGACTCAGTTTTTATTCTCCGAAGAAAAACTATGAAAACTGCTTTCTATTTTTCTTATATACTGGATTATTTTTAAGGACAGCCAGTATAATAATGAAGTACCTGGAATCTGGATCATGGAGTGATAGGAAGGGACTGAAAATATGAGAGAAGAAAGGACTTGTCAAGTGTCCTCAGATATTTATGGGAACTATGTTGGTTCCACACTCGTAGCTCCAGAGGGCAAATCAGGACCAATAAATAACTAAAGATTACAGGGAGACTGACATGGGCTTAATATAGGAAATTGAAAAAAAATAAAAGTGCATGGGGCTACTTTATAAGGTAGTAGATTCCTTGGCATTAGCTACAGTCAAAATATACCTGACAGTATATTTCAGAAGAAGTCTCTGAATTAGGTAGGTGGTTGGACTAGATACTTCTTTCAAATATCTTTCTAACCCTGAGATCCTGAAGTTCCCTAGCCCAAATGGAGAGCCACAGCAAGCATAAATTCCCAAGACAACAGCTCCTTAACTTGCTCCCTCTAGCCTCTAGCAGCCATGATGGAAGAAGAGCCAGAGTCTTCCAGGCCAGAGGAAAGCAAGCCTCAGGATGGTGAGTGTAACCCATCTCTATCAGCAAAGATGGGGTAGAGGTCAGGGACTTAGCTGTGCCAATGGGGGAGGGCAGATTTGGATATTAAAAAAATGCCTTCTAACACTGGCATGGTGGCTCAAGCCTGTAATCCTAGCTATTCAGGAGGTTGAGATCTGAGGATCAAGTTTAAAGCCAGCCCAGGCAGGAAAGTCTGTGAGACTCTTATCTCCAATAAACCACTCAGAAAAGCAGAAGTGGTGCTGTGGCTCAAGCAGTAGAGTACTATCCTTGAGCTGAAGAGCTGAGGCCCAGAGTTCAAGCCCCACCACCAAAAAAAAAAAAAAAAAAGCCTTCTAGAACTGGGTGCCATTGACTCACATCTGTAATCCTAACTAGCTACTGAGGATGCTGAGATCTTGAGGACTGTGATTCACAGAAAAATCTGTGAGATTCTATCTCTAATTTACCACCAAAATGCCAGAATGAGAGTGTGGATTAAGTGATTGAATGCCAGTCATGAGCAAGCAAGCCAAGCAAATTTGAGTGAAAACCTCAATGTCAGGAAAAAAAAAAAAAGCCTTCCAATACAGGGTAAGGGCTGCCTTCTAGGAGATAGACAATTTGTTGGTGTTTCCCAGGAAACAGCCCTGAAGGGGACAAGAAGGCTGAGAAGAAGACACCTGATGACAAAGTGAGAATCCTTCCTCCCTGCAAGGAGCCCAATTTAAGTTTGACTCCACTCATGGCCTCAATAGACATTCCCATCACTCTTGATCCACTCTTCATTTTAACCCCACCCACCCAGCACACAGTGTAAACTTGCAACTCGAACCTAGAATAAAGTTGGAACACATTGTGTCAGGAGAACACCCCTCAACAAGGGGTAGAGGAACCCTGAGACTCATCACCCTCTTTCACTCCCTTAGCACAAGCAGCCTGGTTTCCAGCAGTCTCATTACTTTGTGGCTCTCTATCGGTTCAAAGCCCTGGAGAAGGACGATCTGGATTTCCCGTGAGACTCCTTCCGAGGAGAAGTGGGGAGCACTGAAGGGGAAAGCTGGACTCCTATGGGGAAGGAAATGGGAGAAAGGACTCAGAAGTTCTAGTCCATTGGGGCTGGGGCTGGAACATAGCCAGGGACTGGATTGTGAGGCCTCTAAATCTCAGACCCTTCTCTTCCTATTCCAGGCCAGGGGAGAAGATCACTGTGATTGATGACTCCAATGAGGAGTGGTGGCGAGTACGGGAAATCGCTGGGGCTGATGCGGGTGTGATACGGGTTTGGGCATAGGATCTTGAGTAAAGAATCGATTCAACCTACTATCTTCCCTAGGGGAAAATCGGAGAGAAAGTTGGGTTTTTCCCTCCCAATTTCATCATTCGGGTCCGTGCTGGAGAACGTGTGCATCGGGTAACGAGATCCTTCGTGGGGAACCGAGAGATCGGGCAGATCACTCTCAAGAAGGACCAGGTAGCTCCAGTGCCCTAATCCCAATTTCAGCCGATCACATCGAGACTAGGCCAAGAACCTAACCCAGGTTCCCATGCCTTCATCTGCCCTTTTCCCTAGATCGTGGTGCAGAAAGGAGACGAAGCTGGAGGCTACGTCAAAGTCTACACCGGCCGCAAGGTGGGGCTGTTTCCCGCCGACTTCCTGGAGGAGATTTAGGTGTGCGAGCACCTGCAGGCCGGAAACACCTGAGCTCCATTCTGGGCGGGGCCCAGTGGAGGTTGGGGAGAAAAAAGGAACGAAAGCAATTGGACTACGGGTGGGGAGGGTTGGGAAGGCGCACCAACCAAGACGGAGCTTCTGGGAAAGGGACTGGTTCCCGCCTCCCTCCCCCGACCTGGGGCTTTGATGATTTTTGCTATTCGTTGCCAGGAGCAGCCCGTATCCCGCAAGCCCCTTAAGGCCATTTAGCCTCCGAGAGCTGGGGAGGGGTGGGGGGTGGCGTGGGAGGGCGGGGAGATGCGTCTCCACTAGGAGGCGCCGAGGAGGGAATCGCGGGGCCTAATTGTCAAATGTTGCCAATTAAAGTTTTGACAAAAGTTAGAAAAGTTGGTTCTTTAACTGGGGACTTGAAGGCCTGCGGGGGGCGGGGGGGGGGGGAACCTCCCCAGCGTTTCCACCTCCCTATGATCGGGTAAGCGCTGGGGCTGGGGCTGGGGGGAGGCAGGAAGTCCGATACCCCCTCCAGGCTAGGCCTGTGGAAGGAGTGTCGTCCTACAGCCGTCGCCTGGACCCAGCAGGATCTTCCCGGCTGGGAAGGTCTCTAGCTCTCGGTGATTCTGCGGCGCGCGACCCCTCGCATTTCAGAACCTGGCTCAGCGCCCAGCAAGGCCGCCAGGGGGCGATGCAAGATCTCAGTTGGAGAGAGAGGGATGGGGAGGGGCTGGGGGTGGCTAAGGGGAGAGAAGCGGAGACACCAAGGCTGAGACCCTAGGCCTGGGAGGGGGTGGGGTGCGTGCCGTCTCCATGGCAACACTTCCTCGAGTCCTCGGGGAACGGAGCTAGCGAGGCCGGGGGGGGCCTAACCCCTCCCGCGCGGCCCCTGCCCCAGCCCTTTCCGACAGGTACGGAGCGAAAGAGGACGCGGGGCAGACAGCTCACCCGCTCTCGCAGAGACCGCCCCCCTGCGGCGCGCCGTATGCAAATGTTATTATTTGCATATGCAAATATGCAAATAAGCCGGCCCTGGTCAGGGCGGCAGGTGGCGAGGAGCGGGAAGGTGTGGGGAAGAGAGCAGAAGACGTGGAGTTGGGGACCTGGGAGCGGACCACTGAGAGACAACCTGGTGTGGTCGCTGGAGTGGGGCAGGTGGGAGGGTCCTGAGCTTGATGATGGGTGGGGGAGGGTCAGCCTGGCCAGCCAGAAGCTGCTCTCGTCTGCCCGTTGTCTGCCAGAACTGAGGTTGGCATCGCCTAGCAAGGTTGGCAGCGGGAGCCCGGGCACCATCTGCTGCTGGCAGGGGGGGAGGGCAGGGGCTCAGCTGGGCTGGGGAAGAGGGAGGCCCGGGACGCCCCCCCCCCCACTTCCATACAGAAGGCTGAGGTATTGTGGGGGGCGGTAGGGAAATACACAAGACTCGCTGCAGAACCAGTTTGGTTTCTTGTTCCCTTTGCCCTTGACTCTTCTGGACGCTTGGGGGTGCGGGGTCATAGAGGAAGACTCGCGCAGCCCCCCTTTATCACGGCCGGATGGGAATGGGAACCGATCATAGGCATACACACTCCAATCACACACAAGTCAACCTTTTGCCCCATCTCTCCCCGGGATTTCGCTACCAGAGTGAGAGAAGGAACGGCCAGGGCTCAGATCGCCTGTATTCACCCCGTAGTCGGAGGGACTCAAAACCCGAGCCCCGAGATCGTCGAGAGCCCCCTCAATGCTGAAGCAAAACCAATTTACTGGCTCATTGGGCGGCGATGCTGGCGTGGGGGTGTCGAAGAGCAGAGAGAGCGGCTGTTCTCCCCTACATACTCGCGGGGCGCCTCCCCCCCTCGCCTTACCGAGCCGGCAGCTGTCCCTAATTAGAGCGGCGGTTTAATTGGATTTATCAGCAGTTAATAGGAAATTAAGCAAAGGGCCCGAGAGAAGGGGGGCGGGAGGAGTGGAAAGACGGGCTGTGCTGAGCTTCAAGGAGAGGTGCTGGGGTACCAGAGCTGGGGAAACGCTACATCAGTGTCACGACTGAGCCCTAAGGCCACGCCCTTCCCCTTAGTACTCCCCCTGCGATTGAGCCCTGGCGGGTGGGACCAGGAGCAAGTCCTGAGAGAGGGCAGCGACCCTGTCTGAGCTCCCAGCACCACCCACTCCCCCAAGCAGCCGCCTGGGTGATGGATGACGATGCTAGATGCTGCAAAGGTCATAAGTCTGGGCCAAGGAGCAGACTGAATTGAAAATAGGAGGAAGGCCGAGGTACTGGAGTCCAGGACACAATTTGCATCTCACCCCTCTCCACTGCTCACTCTATTTGTGTGTTGGGTGTGTGTTTACTGAGTTTCTTTATTGGGGGGGGGGGGGCTTGCATGCAGAGTCTCTCCATCCCTCTCTCCCTGACCTCCCTTCTCTCTGTCTCTGTCTCTGTCTCTGTCTCTCTCTCTCTCTCTCTCTCTCGTCTGTCTTCCTTAGCTTTTTTACTCAAGTCGAGTACTTGACCACTTGAGCCACACTTCCACTCCCACTCCACTCATTTAAAAATAAAAACGGGCCATGAAATCAGAAGATTGAGGACCATGGGAGATGAAATAGCATAGTGACCCTCTCTTCAACCCTCATCTCAGCCTTGTCGGGGATCCTGGGAATCTTCTAGTACTGCTGCCAGTGTCACCCATGGTATCCCCCCCACCCCCAACTCCCATCAACTGCTCAAGTTGGGACCAGCAGGTCTTCCATTGTGCAGGAATATGCTATATGCCCCTGTACTATTATTGTACAGAGATGGCATAAGGTCTGTACCACCTGCAGCTCGGAGGGCCAAGGGAAGGTAGCTTGCAGGCAGTCAAGCCCAGCCCACTGTCCTCTGAGTCCACAGCCCCAGGGCCTCCTGTCACCACTACCTCATTATACAGTTAATCTAAGATAGGCTAACAAAGTCTGCTCTGGGGGACCTTGGTGACCTCTCTGCCCCACTCCACAGTGCAGAGCACAGATGCCAGTTCCTGCGTGTGCGTGGTTCTGCATGTGCAAGGTTCCAAGTGGGTGTGGTGGTGCAGGGTCTCTCCCTCGTTCCCTCCCCCCTCTCCTAATTATGAGCACCTATACCCCTTACGTGTGTGCAGTATGTTTGTCTGTGTCCTGCAAATATGTCTGAACCCCAGGTGTTTGGGCATATCTCAATTGTGTGTACAAGCTATGAATGTGTATTGTTGGGGCTGTGCACCTCCCTCTTGTGATTTCTGTCTGTTTAAGCCCCAGGGTGTGTAGGTGTCTGAGTGCTTGCTCATATATGCATTTGCGAGTCTACGTGTCAGTGCCTTCTTTATGCCTGAGTGTGCCACCCCAGCCCACCCCCGCCCCGCGGGCGGACATCTCTGTGCTTCTGTGTCTCCAAGACTGACTGAGAGCAAAAATCAGGAAGAGCGACTTGTGAGTGTGTTGCTCTGGCTTCTGCTGCAGGTGTGTGTGTGTGTGTCGGTGACAGTGCGTGGGCGTGTGCCTGGGTGTGAGCCGCGGCAGTGTGTACCCGAATGACAGTGTGATGCACGCGCGCATGTGTGCGCGCACTCGAGCACCCGAGCCCGTCTGATTAAGTCTCCCGCCCCCTCTCCTTCCTCTCCCTATTTCTATTCCTCTCTCCTCTCCCGGCCGGCTCAGCTCCGCCGTCCGCATCATCTCCATCCATTATTGAAGAAACAGCCGCGTCCGCTCCAATCACATCAACACCCCCGCCCCCTCCCGGGTCTGCTCGCCCCGTGGCCCCTCTGGGTGCTCGGGAGGGGAGATGCCCGGGCGCAGCTGCGCGCCGGGCGGCAGCCGGCTCATGACCTCGTGCCCCGGTCTGGGCCAGGCACTAGGACGCCGGGGTCGCCCTTGCGGAGACCGCTTTGCATAAACAGATGGCGCGGGCGTCTTTGTCTCGCTCGGCTCGGCTCGCTCGCTGGCTTGCTTGCTCGCCTCGCTGCCCGGCTTCTAGCTCCGCTTCTGTCTGGCTGATGCAATCATGATCATCTCAGAGCCTCGGGACCAGCGCCCTTAATAGTGGCAGCGGTGTGTGTGTGGGGGGGGGGGGGGGGAGTCAGGAGCCCTGAGAACTCTTGAACAGATGCTGGGCACGGTGGCTTCCTTTGGGGGAACCCCCACCAGGCCCCACGGCCTGCAGAGGGAAGATACAAGTAGAGATGAGGTTACAGGAAGGTGGAGGCGACCAAGAGGTGGACCCTGAGCAGTGCCCTGAGGTGTCCTGGGCTCACCCACTGGACCGCTGAGCAGGCCCCCTCCCCCTCCAGGGGCAGCAAGCCAGATAATGGGACTAGAGCTGAGGAATGGGGACAAAGGAGAATGGAGAGACTCGCCCCTTTGCAAAGAAAGATACACGGTGAGACAGAGAGAGGGAAGGAGAGACAGACAAGAGAAACAGATGCAGGACAAAGCCAGAGTATAAGGAAAGGAAACACAGAAAGAGAGCAAGAGAGAGGGGGGGAGAGTGAGAGTGAGAGAGGGAGGGAGAGAGAGAGAGAGAGGAGCTTTAAAAGACAGCCTGATGAAAAGGGGCAAAAGAAGGGCAATTAGGGGCTCCGGACAGGCCAAGTCAGAGATGGAGGGCAGTGCAGGGAAAGGCCTGAGCCTGGGGTGCTGCCTGTAAGCAGCCAAAGCGGTACCTTCCGTTTCCCCCTCTCTACCCTTAGGCCCCACCTCTCACCCCAGGAGTGGAGGCTGAGAGACCTCCTGGTCTGGTGGAGGTGACCTATACACTTCCAGGCACGGATTCACTTTCCCACAGGGGGGAGCTCGAGGTCTCCCCGGCCCCCTGAGAGCCTGAAGCCGCTAGGCCTCCAGGGGGCGCCCGCACCCACGGCCTCCGCGCCCCCCTCCCCCCCCCCCCCCCCCCCCCCCCCCCCCCCCCCACCCCCCCCCCCCCCCGCTAGTTCCGGCGAGCCCAGCTGCATTTGACTTGCTGCGCCGCCAGCTTGCGGATTAGAATCCGGATGAGGTTTGGTGTTGAAGAGTTTAGTCCCAGCGGGACTACCCCGGGCTTCGCCTAATCCTCGGCTAAAGAGAGGGAAGGGGGGACTGCTGCGGTCCGCTCTCGGCTGGGCCAGCCGGTCCCGGGTTGCGGGGAAAGTGCAGGGAGGGAAGGGGGTGAGGGGAGATCTGGGATCCAAGCTCCGTCCCAGCTCGGTCCCAGAGACTTACAATCTACCCAGAAGTGGGAACCAACGAAGGGAGCCGGACCTCGAAATAGGCTCACAAAGAC